CCCTGTATACTGTATACTGTGTTTACTACAGAGGAAATAGGAGAAGAACGGAAAATTTAACCGTTGTAATATAGCAAAGGTTACATATAGATAGTTGAAAAAGTTTATTTTAACTACTTGACAACATTATATTTATTTAAAAACTTCAATTTTTATTTATAATTCTTTAAAAACCAAGTACTTCGCTTCGTTCTACTCTGTTAGAGGACAGGAAACACCGTTCTTTTTATTCCATAAAAATTATTAATGATAAAATTAATGTATATTGCAGACTAAAGACAAATTGTTTTTCTCTACAAAATGTAATAAAGTATCTCATTCCTGAGAATATTTATAAATATTCATAAAATTAATATTTATTATGTAAAATAAACTATATTTTTATTATATTTTGTAATTAATAAATATTTTTGTCGAAAAGCACGGATTCAAACACCATAACAGAATACCTTTACATATAATCTTGCATTAGAAACCGAATATTTTACATTTTAAATTTAGTAAATTCATCATAAATTAATGCAGTAATAAGATTAATTATTCTAATAGTTACAAGTAGATTCTCGACTGATTGAATTTATGTGCATTTACAATTATTATTCATCACGAGAAGACACATTAAGTAACAATTTTAACTGAAATTTTAATATGTATTAAAACCTTTAAGAACATAATATTTTATCTATCAGCTTACATGCCGGATTACATCTGTTCGAGGACCGGAGTTGGCCTGCGGACCTTGGTTGTCCCACTGCTGCTTTACACAGTGGGACAACCAAAGTATAAGAGGATTTCCAACCAACTTTTTGATTGGAAATCCTCTTATACTTTAAATTTAAAGCGTAAAATATAATTTATAAACGCTTACCATTAACAAGTGTTACTATATCATCAGTATGAGATAAATAATTCGGTTGAATGATTGGATACGTATAAGGATCAGTATTTCTCAATTTCACATAACCTCGACTTTTCGGATGTATTAAAACAGGAAACATAGTAAACGAGTCTCTATTTAAAAATGGTTCATAGTATTTTGTCCATACCTGAAAAATTTGAATGGATATAATATATTTCACAAATAAATAAATCTATCGTATGAAATATGTATTACTTCATCCGTATATCCATTATCTTCTCTTAAAAAATTGCCTCCATCAGAAATCGTGCTGCCGGCAACAAAGTGTATTTGTACATCAGGATAATCTTCGGAAGCATTCGCGTATTTCGTGTTTAGGAAAGCAACTGCTTCCACTCCCATGTATAGAGTCCACGGGCCTTATTTTTAAATACAACAAACCCAATATATTGTTTAAAATTTCATAAAATAATTGATAATGAACTTTTAATTAAATTTCTTATTACCGCCAATATTAAAATTTACATTTTAAGTGCGGATTTACAAAGACTTTACAATATAGATAATGAACTTATATTAAAACAAGTAAAATGGCAAAGCCATTTTTGGGATATACTATGTCTCAGAGACTCAGGGCTCAACTGCGCACTGCTTTCTAAGAAAAAGAGAAAACGAGCACTGAGCAAGGAGGAAAAGCCAACACTGATACTTGGGGTCTTGGCATAGATTACGGTGGACTTCGTTGCCGCCATGGTTACGACAGGTTGCATTGTCACAGGCCTATTCTTGGCTACTGTAAGCGGTGATATTTGTACCAGAATTGTCCCAATGTTGCTCTCATCATTTTGCAGGATGGCAAAATGACGAGAGCAAGAGAATACAGGAGTAACATGTGGCACATGTTTGTCAAAATTTGATTTTGCAATGTTTGCATTTTGAAATGCCCAATGAGCAATGCATGCGCAAATTAGTGCCTGTTTGTAGAAACAGTGTCGCCATTTTGTATTTTATTTTGACTCAGTTCTCAGTCTCCTGACTACCTACAAGTCTGGTTTTTTTTACGTGTGCATGATTTGGGCACTAAATACTCTGTGCCAAATTGCAACTCCTGACATGTACAGTGTACTCCTTCATACTTCTAAAGTGTCCAGCTGATGACAGCAGCGCAATTTTATAGACAAGACAGTCTCATGAAAAATGTTAAAATATTTGTATTTATAATAAATCATACCAAAAGTCAAAGCATAAAATACATTTCAACCTATCACGTCATACATGATAACTCAATTTCACACAGCGTATCTTCTAATCCAGTGGTTCTTAACCCAAAAGTATTGCCAATTGAAAAATTTCCTAATTTTTTTACCATGAGCCATTAAACAAATGCATTTCTTTTCACATAATCCTTTATTCATCAAAACATAAAATAAACCTAGTCAGTAACTAAGTAAAATAAAATTATTTAAAGCATTCTAGTTTTAATATTAACTACAAACAGCACAACCACAAAAATATAATACACACAAACAATCATCAAAGCTAAAAAAGTGATCCTAACATGTGACCATTTCTTTAGCTGTAGAATAGGAGAAACAATTAACTGATTGCTTTGCATTAGTAATAAAAAATATTTGTTTATTATACAACACCTATTTTCATATAAACTGTTTTATAATTTGGTCACATGGTTTTTTGGGACTAATTTTAACAGGAATTTAAAAAATTTTACAGACCCGTGAATGGGAAATACTGATCTAAGGAATGTTAAGTATATATAATATCAATCTGTAAGGAGGTAATAAAACAAATTATAAATTAAAATAGTAAAATAAATATAAGAGCATAATATAAAAGTTTTTTTTATTAGAATATTAATAAAAATTCTTTATAAATATGAAATCAAAATGTTAATCCATTAAGATAATATAATATAATTATAGCTAGCATTGAAAAATTGCAACAAATATTGTTGAATAATTTAAACATCTCAAAATATTGAAACTGAAAAGAAATATTTTCCATTGAGCTGATATCATCAAATTTTTTAATTTTATAAACATTAAATTTCAACATTCTAATACAAGTTCCATACATAACTTGTGTTAGAGAAAATACAAAAAATAATTCATTTACCTAACATAAGATTATAATTTGAAGAGTTTTTGTAATTGAGCTGCAATTTGAAAACATTGTAGACCATTAATACACAATCCTTATCAAGCACCTTAATTCACTGAGATTAATTTATTTCAATACAAACTATTTTTTTCAACCTATTCAATAGGACATTTTCAAGTTTACAAAACTTTTGGAATGACAATTATAAAGTGTTCCAAAATATAATATCAAAATTTAAAATGAAAACATTAATAGGAAAAATAAATATAAAAGAAAAACTACTAAAAATGTAATATATTAATATAATAATTAACATAAACATGAAAATAAAAGTATAAAATGAAATACAATAACAAAATATTAGTAAGTGACGTAAATTAGGTGCTTCTAAAAACTTCTTAACCATGTACAGTACTTCCAGGCAGATGATAAACTGTGTGTCTCTTGCATTAATATATGTATTTTCCAACTTGTTCCTCTAAATTTCAATCTTATCTTTTCAGCATTCATCACCAACATTGGAGAGAGCAAAAACTTAATTATATTTGCCTTATCCCATTTACCACAAATCCTTCAGCCTGTGCCATCTGACAAAGTACTTTATTGTTGGATCCCTTTCTGACAATATACTTATGTCATTTATGTCTAACTCCCAAATTTCTTGTGGTAACCCTAATATAACTCTTCTTAATTTCTAATTGTATGTTTTTGTGCAGTATCTTATACAATCCTGTTTTTTCTTCTTTTCTTATATTATCCTTGTCATTTCTTGAAATTCTATAATGGTTCAGAACACTTTTCATAATTTATTCTAGACTCTTTGCAGTGTGCAATTTCTTTCATAATGCCCTTTATATTTCTGTTAAAAGTGAACTTTGCAGTTTTGTTGAGTCCACAGTTCTGAGCCTTTGGTGTGTCCCCTTTGTAGCTTCTAACCATTCTTGCTACTGTGCTAGTTTTGTACCCTAGATTTTTGGCCACTTGCATAATTATTTTTTTGTCTATCTACACCACTGCTACAATATAGAGAAGTCCTTCTAATGAACGTCTGAAATGCTGTTTGTACCAGGAGAAATCATTCGACTGGGACGGAATGTAGAGTGGAATGTGTGTCAGTTTAATATTTACATTGGCAACTAACTGCACTTTTTTAAATATGATGTTAATGTCCAAAAAATGCATCTTTAACAAACTTTTATGTCCCATCCTCAGTTTTAGCCCATCCTTGTTAATATTAACCCTATGAAAAAATTCACTAATTTTTTGGTTATTCTTCCACAAAATAAAAACATTATCTACATATCTTTTAAAATACACAATATTGTAGGCCTGTAAATTTCCATTGTCATCTATCTGTCTATTTGTTCTTTCTTAATCTCAAGAACAGAGTTAGATAGACGAAAGCCAAGTCCAGATATGAAAAGATTAGAGGCAGGAGGCCCTGATTAACTATATACAAACTTCCAGTGAAAACCAGAAGTCATGTTATTTCAATTCAAAAATTTTTCTGAAAGGAGTTTAGAAAGATGACCGGCACAACTGTATTGCTAACAGAAAAAGTATGAGGTACCCCTGAACCTCATACTTCTGCAAGACACTACTAATTTGAGGTGGAGAGCATATATTTTAAATTAAATAAATTAAAAAAATATGATTAAAAATTTCAGCCTGGCATTGTGATGATGTCATAATAAATAATTGCTCACTTACATTCAAAAAAGGCAGGGTGAGGAAGCATTCTTGTAATATTTCAATGATAATTTAAAATGTTACCCTTAAGAACATTTTTTTTTTCATTTATATGAAATTGATATATTATCTAAAAATTTAAGTTGAATAAGTAACTTACTTATTTTAAAATACATTATATATACTAAATTACCTCTTTCAAATTAAAAAATTATAACAATTTTAATTGAACAGGTATATGGTAAATTTGTGTACATTAATTGAAATGATTTTACAATAAATTATAAAATTTATTTCATTTAACTTATTAACTTTCTAAAATGATTCTACTTACATTTTGATTTATAAGTATAATGTGGATATCATCTCGTTTTACGAATGATTTAAATTTATCTTCAATTTCTCCATTGCTTGTATCTAAAAATAATCACATTTTAAAACTGTATTTTATTATTATAATTCCCATCTTATAAAGATACCTATAATTTAGCAAAAATTATTTTTTAAAAATTTGAGGGATTGAAACATGAAACTATTATATATGAAGCAGTCATGAATATGGTGGTCACTTCATATTTCCACGATAAATTTTCTTTCTAACAAATTTTAAGACATCTTTGGTTTAAATTACAATATAAAATTTGTTCAAAGTGACAAATATACATAAATAGCCAGAGTGATCATTTAAATACTAAAAACAAATTATATGAATACATTGAGTAGTTTGCTTCAAGTTATAATATATATTACTTGCTTGATGCAAACTACTCAATATATGTACAGTACATAGGTTTCATACATATAAATTATTCTTCATTTGTTTTGATTAAATGAAAACATACATTATCATTGTATGATTGGCTGCGATTATGCTCATTACAGCCATCTAAAATGGAGTCAGCATGTGATAAAGAATAAGCAATGATATTTCCAACTACAATATACTACCTGGATCATATAAGTGGCTGAAAGTACAAGTACACAAAGTCCAAATTTTCCCCATTGTGTTGCAAAACAGATAAGATTCTATTGATTCATATCTGTTGTGATATACTGTAAATAGACAATGTCCTTTGATATTTAGCTGTTTGTCACTAGACAGATCAAGCACACTAAGTATGCTTAGTGTTTGTAACCAATATACAAACAGACCAAAGTCCATAAAAAATATGCATATGCAATAACCAAGTCCAGAAACCATTTAATACAACCTGAAGTTCAACAAGGAGACAATTACTGATTTTTCTGAACCCAAATGGGTGCCTGAGCAAAATAAAGGCATTTTATCATTGATAATAATGCCAACATGTCACCAAGAGGTAAAAAAATACAAGAGAAACATGAAAAAGTAGAAAATAAATAAGCACAAATTATTTTACTATAGTGGGAATAATACATTGACAGGCAGTATAAGAATACTGCTAAGGAGGGCAAGGTTTACTCGTCTTTCCTTAGTAGTAGTACATTTATTGCAACAATTTTTTATAATAAGAATTACCATAATGTGCATTGTAATGTGAAGGAATAAACACTTTATGCAAGCAATTGCATTCCATCTGTTGCCTCCCTGGTTGTATTGATTCCTTCCCTTCAATATAACAAGTCCTAGTTAAAAAGAAAGTCCAAGTACACAAGTTATACTCAACATATAAAATGAAGAACTAGAAGCATGTATCTTAATAATATTCCATGTTCATAATAATATTGTGGAATGTTTGCAGCACATTTCCACCACTGTTCTTATTACTTTTTTATGCACCATTTCATACATTGTTTGAAGCAACTTGTCATTCTGGTCATTGTTTGAAGCAACTTTCTCATTCTGGAAATAGCTTTTGCAACTGGGTCTTCTTGTATCTAATTGATTATGATGAAAACACAGATAGAGCATGTCCTCGTATTTTGCAAATAACAGTGACTCATCCATAAACACATGAACACAAGTTTGCATTAGATGCTGTCAGTCCTCACCCACAGTCACTATTCACTGCAACTCCAACATTTTTAATTAAAGACTAGAAGGCATTAGATTCATTTACTTGAAAGCAGTCCCCGGTACTTATTTGATTTCAAAGATACCCATTGGGGTTGATATAGACTCCTGGGGTCAATGGACTTTTGAAAGGGGTCAATTGAGAGTCAATGGAAAAACCAGATACTTAAGGGGATTGATTGAAAAGAATGTTTTCTATATGGGGTCAATGCAAGAAAGGTTCAGAACTTGTGGTCTCTATTTGTATTCTGAGCCACTCATATTTTAACTTAAATATTGCATGGAAGTAAGCTGACATCTTATCAAATGATTGTCTGACCAACTTGCTTCATTTGTATAATTTATAATCATATGCATTTTATTCTGATTAGTCTAAGGACAATTATGTCAAAATTAAAATGTTAGATGCTGGAAAAAAAAAAAAACACACAATGGTAAACTGGAAGGATATATATAGACTTGCACTTAAACATTAAATTTCCAGCAAAACACCCAAATTCAACATTCGAACGTTTTCAGCCACTCCTTAATCGGCCTTCATCAACAGTTACTGTCATTTGACTTTTCCTGATGAAGGCCAATTAAGGAATGGTCAAAAACGTTCGAATGTTGAATTTGGGTGTTTTGCTGGAAATTTAACGTTTAGGTGAGAGTTTGGATACTAATACTGTAACTCCTATGCCTCTTTAAAACTTAACATTCACCATTATTAGTTACAGTGTAGTGTTTTATGATAGGTTAGTGAAAGAAACAGCAAATTAAAAGCAGCTGAAAATATTGTATACAAACTTATTTTCAACACAAATTTGAGTTATTCAAACTTACTTAAAAATGTTTGGTTTATATAAATATAAATAGTATATCATTATTATTATTTAACATTAATCATCAACAAAATAAACAAGTTAGATATATTGAAATGATTTGTGTATAAAAAAATTAGAATTATAGAAAAACTTATATATTTATAAATTTGAAAAATATTTAAAGTTTTCTAATAATGTAATAATAATTTAAAAATTTTTGATTAATAAAATACTCACTCTTATCAACAACCATAAAATTTGCCTGTCTCGATTTATTCATTTCTCCAATTCCTCCCAATAAAAACCCTACACATGTATCCTATAAATAATTATTAATTAGCATATTTAAATTATCATCCTAGAAAAATATATATAAATATTTATATTTATCATTAAATTTTAATATAATATAAAAAATATTTACATAAAAAGTCTCAATTGTACTTTATGGGAAATTAAAAACCAACAATTTGCAGTTTTATACAACTTAAGATAAAAAAAATTTAAATCAAAGTGAATTCAGTATTTTTCTGCATTTAAATAAATATTATTTTCATATTAAACAGCATTTATGAAATCTCTCAAGAAATTTCTGCAATGATCTTGTATCTATAAAACTATAATCTTCAATATCTCTTTCACCATGCAATGATCAAGTCCCTTACAGATTAATTTTCTATGTACCTTAGTACTTTTTCCTGATAGTGATAACATATTATAGCACTTTAAATGAATACATTGAGTCTCTATAATTGTTTCAATTTTATCAAACATAAAACTTTTTCTTACAGTTTATATATTGCTATTTCATCTCTTATTTATCTCTTACTTAACTGTAGCTACTCTCTCTTTTATATTATTTTTTGTTCTGTATATACTTAATTTCAAGTATTTTTTTTTTATAAGTCAATATTACAACATAAATAATGAATTTTATAAATTTTGCTTTGTCATATATATACCAATATTTTACTTTCATAATATTTTTAAAGTAATAATTCTCTAACTAAATTGTATTTTTTAAAAAATAACTTATATTATGAATAAACAAAAATATCTTCAAATTTTTAATATGTAATAATTTTATCAATAGTTATTTCAAATTAAATAGGAAATAAAATTTTTTAAGTTTTGTATGTACTGTACATAATAACAAAAATTAGAAATTCAAAACTTTGAATATGTTATGCATTATGAAATAATGATGCATCAAAATATAATTTAGTCATGCATAGTTATATAACAATGCATGACTAAATTATATGGGGAAAATATAACTTATCTTGTCAATCATTCAGTAAAATTGGCAAGTTTGTTAAAGACAAACAAAAATCTGTCAAAAGTGATAGATGAAATAAATTTATTTTTATTTAAAATAATGATAGCTTTATCTAAACTATAAAATATACAAATTTAAACATCAATTAACCTGATTTTAAGATTAATGCCAAACAATTGCCAGATTATATATCAAGTAATTTGGGCTACAGGTAGACATTAGGTGCCATCTCTCAATAAATTTAATAATTATAATTAAATTAATTATTCCTCATAAAACACAGTAGTTACGTTCTCAAAAAGTGCAGTTATGGAAATCCGCACTATGCAAAACAAAGGACTAATGCAAAACAGGGTTACACTTCAGAAGTTAGCAAAATTACACTATTCTTTTTCATTACTAAGAGAAATATGTTTATTAAAGCAATCAATAATTAATTAACAATCACAATAAAAGTACTGTATTATGTATTAATATTAATTTTAGTTTTATGTATTAATATTAATTTTAGTTTAAATGATGGCATTTTGTTTTTACAAAGTATTGTTGTCATCTCAGCTTTTTTGTTGATCTTGATCAGAAGTATCAGCACATTTTCATATTTTTTATTTTAATCATAAAAAGTTTTTTATGGATGAGAATATAAAAATATGTTATTAATCAAAAGTTTGCTCTAGCAAGTCATGTTTATTCAGTTGAGTACCAAGTGACTTTTTTCCAGAATTTGCATCTGAATACCAAATTTGTTTGAGTACCAAGATTTTGTTTGTCATTTTACAAATGATTGCTTTCCTACAGTTAAAAAAGTTTAATAACACCTACCTAAAAATGTTTAAATAAACTTTACTAAATACAAAGGTCAATCTATAAAAAGAAAACACAGTGGCAGTCTTAAGGGCTAAAGTCTGAAAGCAATGACAATGACACGTAGTTGATAGAAAAATTACTGTAATTTTTTTCTTCATTGTCCTATCAGTTTTCATTAAAGCAAACCTGACAAAAAGCACAAAATAATTTTAAAATTTCAATACATGTACTCCTCACTTTACAATCCAGTTCCGTTCCAACAACTATGTCGTTAAGCAAATTGGTCAATAAGTGAGGAGCTTGCACCGGAAATATAGAATCGTTGTAAAATTATAAAAATTATGCAACAAACTTCAAATTTATTCATAAAAAGACATGCATATGTACATATTATCATTTGTTTATTTGGTTATCTGGTGCTATAGAAGTTTTTTTTTTCCAGGTAAGGGAGATGACGATGATGAAACAGAAATTATACCTTCAAGGGCGGAGGTCTTGGATGTAACAGTCAAAAAGTAACTCATAACTGTGGTTTGCGTTGTAATCTTTTTTCTTGATAAATTTCTCTATAGCACTACAAAAGTTCACTCATCCCACAATCAACTTTATGTTAAAACATTCAGTATTTGGATCCATAGCCTCAAGTTCCGACATAGCCATATTAATTTTGGAGAACACACAAGCTAACCCATGTACCGTGAATTTCTTTTTCACTTCTTCAGTTCTTTCGTCTTCTTCCTCTTCTAAATACTGTATCGCTTCTAACTATTAAATTTTCATTTGTTAGCTCTCCATTGGCATAATCCACTAATTCAGCAATGTCTTCCACTTCAACATCTAAATTAAGCGCATTGGCAAGGCCTGCAATTGTTTAAATTACATCAAACTGGCTAAAAAAGTGCATAGCAAGCCTATACTACGCTCAGTGAGCATGTCACCAATCGCCACTGATCAACACTCAAGCAGAGAAAGGGGATTTCCTGAATTGCAGGTCAAAGCTCGATTGGTCGTAAGTGTGAGTGGTTGTTAAGCAGATAGGTCGTAAAGTGAAGAGTACCTGTATTCTAAAGTCCACAGGCAAGTTTGAGATGACATATGTGCTTACTTGAATACAAAATATTGAATAATGGAGTTCGCATTTAAAAATTGTGAATTTTGTACAGAGGATTTCCAAAACAGTGTTGTACAAAGGATACTTATATTTAATAATTAATTTAGGAGGTTCTGGAAAGAAAAGAAGCATTACTAATAGTAGCATTAATATAGCCATAGTTGCCAACCAACAGCATTTTGTATGATTCTCTTTTTGCGGTATTTTTAAAGAATTTGATATTATCATAAACACTTTGGCATGTATATTGGTATTAACAAGTCTAATACCAATATATATGCCAAAGACATTGTATGTATTTTATTACAAAGAACTAAAGCAAACCAGAATGATGTTCTAAGATTCATTTAATTGGGAAAGAACCAAGGTTCATATTTTTATATAGGTATGAAAATTTTAGCTTAAATATGATAATTTTAAATGGCAAATATGATAAATTACATCTTCAAGTCTGGCAACACTAGTGACATCATGTTGGAAGTTAAATTAGTTATGACCAATTCATCAGCGGAAGGAAATGAGTTTAGTTCACTTACAGTTAGACCAAATTTTTGAGCAACATTACAGTTTCTCCACCCAAAAAGAAGAAACATCCAATTCATCACTTAAGAATATACAGGCTATATGATATGAACTTTTTCAAGAAAAGAAACTAGATAGTACTTTGAAATTTGTGAAATTTTACCAAAATTTGTAATCTTTATAAAATAATTAGCTTACCCGTCGTGCATTGCTGTGATCTCAGAAGAAAGGAAATTCAAGCAAACTCATTATGATAAAATTCAATTTACATTTTATCATTTTTATTGAAACTTATTATTATTCATTTTCATCGGGAAAACATTTCAAAGTGTCGTTTCAATTCTATTTATTTATTGGAGTGCTTGTGGATACACGATATTTTTTGTTTTTTCGTCTGGTGCGTACACGAATAAATCAGAAGGTTTTC